CAATGTCTAGAAGAGTATTTCTAATGATTTCCTCTAGAATTCTAATAATTTCACACCTAAGGTTCAAGTCTGTTACCCAGCATGAATTGATTTTTGTGAGAGTGAAAGGTGGGTCCTGTTTCAGTCTTCTACATGTGGCTATCCAGTTTTCCAGCACCTTTATTGAATAAGGATTCTTTTCCCCAGTGTATTTTTGTCTGCTTTGTTGAAGATTAGTTGGCTACATGACAATGGTTTTATATTATTTAGTTCTCTGTTCTGTTCCACTGGTCAATGTCCCTGTTCTTGTGCAATAGCAGCTGTTTTAATTACTATAGCCTTGTAGTATAGTTTGACATCTGATAAATTGATACCTCCTATTTTGTTTTTATTGCCTAGGATTGATTTTGCTATACGGGGTCTTCTCTGGTTCCACACGAAGTATAAAATTATTTTTTCTATATCTGTGAAAAATTATGATGGTATTTTGATAGGGATTTTGTTGACTCTGTAGGTCACTTTGGGTAGTGTAGACATTTTAACAATGTTGATTCTGTTGACTCATGAGTATAGTATATTCTTCCATCTGTTTACATTCTCTGCTATTTCATTCTTCAGTGTTTCATAGTTCTCCCTGTAGAGGTGTTTTACCTCCTTAGTTAAATATATTCCAAGGTACTTTATTTTCTTTGTTGCTATTTTGAAGGGAATTGAGTCTTTGATTTGGTTCTCACTTGTACTGTTGTTGCGTATGTGAATGCCTCTGATTTCTGTGTATTGATTTTGTATCCTGAGACTTTACCAAATTCATTTATCCCATCAAGGAGTATCTTGGTTGAATCCTTGGGATTTTCTAGGTAATATCATGTCATCAGCAAAGGAGAGTTTGATCTCTTCATTTGGACGCCCTTAATTGTACTCTCTTGTGTGATTGCTGTAGCAAGGACTTCCAGCACTATACTGAATAGAAGTGGAGATAGTGGGCAACCTTGTCTTCTTCCAGTTCTATGTGGGAATGCTTTCAATTTTTCCCCATTCAGTATGATATTGGCTGTGGGTTTGTCATATATGGCTTGTATCATTTTTAGGTAAGCCCCATCTATGCCTGTTTTGTTGAGCATTCTTATCATAAAACGGTGTTGAATTTTGTCAAATGCTTTTTCTACATCTATTGAGAGGATCATATGGTCTTTATTTTTATTTCTGTTTATATGGTAAATAACATTTATAGATTTGCATATGTTGAACCATCCCTGCATCCATGGAGTGAAGCCCACTTGGTTGTGATTCGATTGCCTAGGATTTTGTTGAGAATTTTTGCATCTATATTCATAAGGATATTGGTCTGTAGTTTTCTTTTTTATTGCATCCTTTCCTGGTTTTTGTATCAGGGTTATGTTCACTTCATAAAATATGTTGGGGAGGTTTCCATCCTTCTCGATGTTGTGGAATAATTTCTGCAGGATAGGCACCAGTTCTTCCTTGTAGGTGTGGTAAAATTCGGGTGTGAAACCATCTGGTCCAGGAGTTTTCTTTTTAGGAAGGTTTTTTATTGCTGTTTCAATTTCAGTACTTGATATTTGTCTGTTCAGGAATTCTATTTCTTCCTGGTTGAGCTTAGGGAGGCTGTGTGTTTCTAGAAATTATCCATTTCCTCCACATTTTCCAGTTTGTGTGCATAGAGGTTTTTGTAGTATTCATGAATTATATCTTGTATCTCTGTGGCATCCGTTGTAATTTCTCCCTTATTGTTCCTGATGGAGCTTATTAGAGATTTTTCTCTTCTGCTTTTCGTTAGTCTAGCCAAAGGTGTGTCAATGTTGTTTATTTTTTCAAAGAACCAACTTTTTGTTTTGTTAATCTTCTGTATGGTTTCCCTGTTGTCAATTTCATTTAGTTCTGATTTGATCTTAATGATTTCAGTTCTTCTGCTGGGTTTTGGGTTTGCTCTGCTCTTATTTTTCTAGCTTTTTGAGATGATTCATTAGGTTGTCTATTTGTAATCTTTTAGACTTTTGGATATAAACATTTATGGAAACAAACTTTCCTCTAAGGACTGCTTTAGCTGTGTCCCACAGGTTTTGATAACTTGTGTCTCCTAGTGTTTTCTTATAGTATTGATTTCCCATAAGTGTTTAGTGATTCTTAGTTGTATACTCATCTCTTTTTTTTTTTAACTGGTAACACTCCTTCATCTGTAAATGCTATATATAATTACCATAGCCTTCCTCCAGTAATTGTGTGAAAGGCATGGGACCTGCTTCCTGGAACTTTATATTGTAGCTTGTTTCAAATGCTGCCCTGAAGGTGGCCCAGTAGCTAGTTTCTAAAGGTAGGAGGGCTTACTGTAACTTCTTCCTGAATGTTGTTTCCTTTTAATGTTACTGACCTTTTTCTTGGCCACAAACCTTTTCTTCTTACTACTCTTATTTGGGGAGGGGGGGGAGTGGCACGTGCCTTTGCTATCTTTTGCTTGGTGTGGTGTAGGGAAGGTACAGAACTGCCTGTTTCTTCTTTGGTATCTCAACGAGTTCATTGTTCTATTCGCTGAGTATCTACTGAGCAGCGAATAAGTCAAAATCTCTGTTTTTGTGGTACACACATTCTAGTAAGGGGAAATAGACCCTAAACAAATACATAGGGGTCGGGGAAGGACTTTTATGTGTTGGTGACATTCACAGGTAGAGAGCTGTTCAAGGAACCAAAAGAAGTCCTGTAAATAGGAGAGTATCATGAGGTAATGTTGAAGAGATGGATAGGCGACAAATTGTGTAGAGTTTCCTAAGTATTACAGCCAACTACTCATCCTTTTGGTTGGTCAGGACTCTCTCCTGCTCCCCATATCTGCCACTTGAGTTTGCAGCATTTTGTGACAGTTCCTACATATATCATGGTCTACTTTTTCCCACTTCAGCTATATATGCTTGTGTGTATATCTATTTTTCCTATTGTGTCTGTGGATTTAGATTGGTAAGGGAAGTTAGAACATATATTTATTTTGCTGTCTTGATCCAGTCACTACATATGAAAAAATATTTTCTGTAATTTCAATGGGACCAATGCAATACTTTCTAAATTGTGTAGTCTTGAGGGTTTTGTTCTCCTCGTGAAAGTAGTGTTATTACTAGTCCAAAATGGGACTTTAGAAAATAAAAACTGATTGTTTATACTTTTATTTTCAGTAACTCCTGATCTGAGTGTTACTAATGCTTACACAAGGCAGTATACTTACTGCCATGTAGGCTGTCCTACCTTCAGACAATTGCTAAATTCCATTCTTTGTGCTTTTATATTTTCTTTTAATCTTCTAGATTCGTATTGGTCATTATCATGTTTTCCAAAGTATTTGTGGTTGTCTATATTAATTTTTGTATTAATTACTATAGGAGGTTTATTTTAAAAGCACCCATTTAGATACAGTGGTTAATTCTGGGGGGTTTTTGTGGGGGTAAGGGGACAAGAAGAACAGAAAGTGATTTTATAGCCAGCAGGGCTGATGTTAACAATTTTTACAACGTGAATTTCAAATAATTCTCAGATTCTTTGTAAATTTCTTTGTGCTTACATAAAGTTAGAAATTTGATTTGCTGATATTTCTCTGTAAGTCCAAGTGCCTAGATACCTTCTTTTTCTCTGTTATCATGTGTATCAGGCATCTTTAACTCTCTTAAATAATATGAGCAGAAATGAAAATTTTCATTTTAATAGCATGGGGCTTTAGTAACCTTTTTAGTAAATTGGTACATATGAAGGAAATAATTTCTATTTTGATTTTTGGTTGTCTTTTTTTTTGTTGTTGTTTTGTTTCATTTTGTTTTTGAGACAGGGTCTCACTAGGCTGCCCAGGCTGGAGTGCAGTGGTGTGATCATAGTTTACTGTAGCCTAGAACTGCTGGGTTCAGGTGATCATCCTGCCTCAGCCTCCCAAGGGCATGCATCACCACGCCTAGCTAATTTGATTTTTTTTTTTTTTTTTAGAAACAAGGTCTTGCTGTGTTGCCCAGGCTTGTCTCAAACTCCTGGCCTCAAGTGATCTTCCTCCCTCAGCCTCCCAAAGTACTGGGATTATAAGCATGAGCCACCATGCCTGGCCTTGATTTTCAGTTTTTTTTTTTTTTTTTTTGAGACAGAGTCTCGCTTTGTTGCCCAGGCTAGAGTGAGTGCCGTGGCGTCAGCCTAGCTCACAGCAACCTCAAACTCCTGGGCTCAAGCAATCCTACTGCCTCAGCCTCCCAAGTAGCTGGGACTACAGGCATGCGCCACCATGCCCGGCTAATTTTTTGTATATATTAGTTGGCCAATTAATTTCTTTCTATTTATAGTAGAGACGGGGTCTCGCTCTTGCTCAGGCTGGTTTCAAACTCCTGACCTCGAGCAATCCGCCCGCCTCGGCCTCCCAGAGAGCTAGGATTACAGGCGTGAGCCACCGCGCCCGGCCTGATTTTCAGTTTTTAAAGTTTATATATTGATGAAAAATATTCTGGGGTCAAAGATTAATAATCTCTTATTTGAAGTATAAATAATGTGGGGGTTTTTGAGACAGCATCTTGCTCTGTCACCTGGGATAGAGTACAGTGGCATCATCATAGCTCACTGTACCCTCAAATCCTAGATTCAAGTGATTCTCCTGCCTCAGCCTCCCAAGCTGGAACTACAGGCATGTGCCACCATGCCCCACTAATTTTTCTATTTTTTGTAGAGATGGGGTCTCTTATTCAGGCTGGTCTTGAATTCCTGGCCTCAAGCAATCCTCCAGCCTTGTCCTCCCAGAAGGCTAGGATTATAGGCATCAGTCACTGTGTCCAGCCTAAATAACTTTTTTAAAGAAAAGGAAAGCTTAATTTCTATAAAGTGAGTACTTCAGATTCAGTCTGATCTGGTACTATTAATGCAACTATATAATAATATCCTATTTTTGATTAAAGATTAGTCCATATAAGAAACTCCGATGATATTAAAAATTTGTCACCTTACCTAAATTATTACCACTTTGGTTTTTCTCATTGTTTTGTCTCCATTAGGAGATGTCCTCAGATGCTTCATTTCCAGGGGATCCAGAGTCCTATCCTGCTGCTGTGTCAAGCGGTGGAGCCATTCATCTGCAGACAGGAGGTGGATATTTTGGCCTAAGCTTTACTTGTCCTAGTCTCAAAAATCCTATTAGCAAGAAATCCTGGACTCGCAAATTAAAAAGCTGGGCATACAGGCTACGGCAGTCAACCAGCTTTTTCAAGAGATCAAAAGTCCGTCAAGGTAGTGTGCTTACAGTCAGGGACATAGACTAGGTAACATCACTTTTCATTTACTTATTTTATTTTTTGTTCATACACAAATCTTGCCACTTTTTCCACTTAGCCCATATATGTGACATATCCCATTAATGTCATTGCCATTTTATTTTTCCTTTTGTAACTAATTTGGTTTTCCAATTTTTCATTTCATATAGATAGTAAGTCTTGGGATAAATCTTGCAATGTCGGATTTAGAGTTAGGGACTTATATGATGTTGCTTATATTAACACCTTTTAATTGTCTAGCAGGAGTTAAACTTTTTCTACTTTTCTTCATTTTTGGTAAAGTAAACAAATTTAGTCTTAAAAAATAATTTTCTCTTTTCTACTTACAATTTGGCAAAATTGCAGTGGAAACAGAAGATAGGAGATCAGCAATTGCTCCTGATCGCATTCCTCTGACACGGGAGTCCACAGCTGATACTAGGGCTTTGAGTAGATGTAAAGCAATGACTGGATCATTTCAGCGGGGTCGGTTCCAGGTTTGTGTCTTTGGTTGATTCCTTATCTACAAGGGTATTATAAAAGGTAACAGCCATTGAATATCTTGGTCTGTAAATGATACTTACTTTAAATGTAGATCATTGTCATATTTAAATTGTTCATCTTGCATGTATTCTCTCACCTTTTGTAGCCACCAGTAAAGGTGAATCTAAAGAAATGGAGCTTTTAATAGCTGGAAGAGAGCACAGAAATGGGTTATCATTTTTTGCCAGGTGGTTAGGTCATCTTTTTTATAAATTTAATTTCATGTCTTCTAGAATCTTTGAAAATCTAATTGTGGAATTTTATTTGAGCAATATGAAGCCAACTCTCTTTACTCAAGGGGCCCAATTGAAAGACTTTGAATATGGGGAGTATAGATGGAATTTTTAAGTTTTGGTAGTATCAATACATGTATATCACAGCAGACCATCCATTTATCTATACTGTGCCAGACACTTTTACCTTTTTATATCTCAGGTGATTACAGTTCCTCAGGAGCAGTCAGTGAAAATGACATCTTTTGAAATAGAACACATACCAGTGTTCAATGAAATGACAAACCATTCCAGTGAAGAAACTCTAGTCTTTACTGAAACAGCAAAGTCTCAATTGGTAGAAATGGAACCTGCCATCCACAATCCACAAATTTCATTTTCTTCTCAGAAGTTACGAGCTCTTCATGAAACCTTTAAAGAAGATAAAGGAATTCCCAAACAAGGTGACAACTTCTTATCTTTCAGCATAGCTTATAAGACTGATGTATCTTCAGTGACCCCAGAAAAGGAATTGGAAGATACTTCAGCCATGGGAAGTAGCATGCAATCTGGATCCGAACTGTTGCTTAAAGAGAGAGAAATAGTACCTCCTGGGAAACAGCCTAGCTCTGACAGTGAATTTTCAGCCAGCCTTGCTGGTAGTGGAAAGCCAGTGGCAAAGACTGGTCCAGAGAGTGATCAGTGCTTACCACTCCATGAAGAACAAGCCTATGCTCAAACACAGAGTTCACTCTTCTATTCGCCATCTTCCCCAATGAGCAGTGATGATGAGTCAGAAATAGAGGACGATGACTTAAAGGTGGAGCTTCAAAGGTTACGAGAAAAGTAAGGAGACTCTCTCTTTTGCCGTAAGTCTGGTTGCCCTGGGTTTTATAGAACTTAGTATTTGGTAGCTAATTTATAATCGGTGACATTTTAATGCTTGAAACCTTTTTTTGATTGAAAACTATGAAGACTGCTAGTGTTAGACATTTATGAATGTTAAAGTCTTTATATATAAAGTATTTTCATAGTCTGAAGACTATAGTTGGTTTTTTACCCAATATGATTTAATTATTGTTTTTGATGAGCTTTTCAATCCTTATCCCAATGGACTTTTGGTTTTAGATTTTACAACTATTCTTATTATATAATTTCACATTTGATAAGTAAATAGCTAATTTATATAGTCAGAGATAGTGGTTCATCTTCTTTAGGAAAAGGTAAGATACTTCCAAGAAGATCTAGCTTGTTATTTGGTAACTGAGCTCATCAACCTTCACTAGTGATATTAGGGTAATATATTTTGTCATATAGAATTCTGTTTTGTATTTAGTTTTATAAACTTTGTCATTTTTTAAAAGAAATTAGTTGCTGAATTCTAATTCTATTCACATTCAAAATTCAGTGGGTATAAAAGGGTAACCAGTAGAGTCTCTTTCCTAGCACTACACCCGAACTACCCAGTTTTTTTTCCTTAGAGACAATTATTACCTGTTTCTTATATATCCAGTTAATATATATATGCAAACAAATATATACATATTTTTGTTCCCTGTAAGTAGTAATTGTACTACAGACTGTTCTTTTTTTTTTTTTTTTTTTTTCAGAGTCTCACTTTGTTGCCCAGGCTAGAGTGAGTGCCGTGGCGTCAGCCTGGCTCACAGCAACCTCAATCTCCGGGGCTCAGGGATCCTACTGCCTCAGCCTCCCGAGTAGCTGGGACTACAGGCATGCGCCACCATGCCCGGCTAATTTTTTGTATATATATTTTTAGTTGGTCAATTAATTTATTTCTATTTTTGGTAGAGACGGGGTCTCGCTCAGGCTGGTTTCGAACTCCTGACCTCGAGCAATCCGCCCGCTTCGGCCTCCCAAAGTGCTAGGATTACAGGCATGAGCCACCGCGCCCGGCCTACAGACTGTTCTTATATGTTGCCTTTTTTTTTTTTTTACCATTTCACGATATCTTGGCTCTATAGCAGCATCATTCTATTTTTTACAGTTGCATAGTATTGCATTATGTGTATATACCCGTAAATTTATTACTAATTTCCTGTGGATGACCCCATGCCATTACTTTGAAAAGTTGAAACTAACTCTAGCAATATTCGTATGTATCTTATGTTTTAGAGAATTTCTACTCTATTCTGGGTCTTGAAAACCTTATAAAGCAGGGAGAATCAGGGAGGAGATAAAAATACAGGTATGGAAAAAGCTGGATTTTAGTCAGATTCTTACATGTTTGGATAATGATCCACTTGGATGCTTTAAGAACTAAAGTGGATTAAAATCCTTGGAAATTTCCCAGTTTTTAAGGATTTGTCCAGAGGAGGAAAAAAATTCCAAATCCCAAAACTGTTATTCCAGTGACAGATGATTATAATTCCATTTTCTCCCCAGCTTGTTTCAGTTTTTTAAACTTGAGCCTGGAAAAAATACAAATGTGTGCTTTAAACATTCATCACTGGAAGGTTGATGTTCTACTTTAAAAATACACACCCACACAGGCTTGACGTTATTATATATTGTGTATAGATCAACTTTACTATAAAGTACTATGTAGTATATGTACACTGATACTTTTATAATAAAAGTAATTATTATTAAGGTAGTTTAATGTTTGTGTTATCAGTACTCCATTGCTGGGTTTTTATTTTTACCCATACTCTATTTTTTATTAATTTTATGACTGATACACATTTTTCATGACCTCTTGACTAATTCACAGTACCTGGCATCCCATGGAGAGAAAACCTTGAAAAGAACAGAAAAATGACTAATAGTAATTTTTAACTTTTGGAAAAATATTATTATTCTCACTATTTTAAGTGATATACAAAGTTATGTCAATCCTCCTGATCCATTGCTGTTTTTAATGTTTCTTTTAAACCATTCTCAAAAGGCTGGTAGCTTTTGTAGCTGGCTGTAATGGTTGAGTATGTACTTTATTTTGAATGTGGGACATTGATTCTCATAACCTCATAGAACCCAAGACCTGAAAGAGATCTTAAAAAGATGATTTATTCTATTTTGTTCTCTCTCTCTCTTTTTTTTTTTTTTTTTTGAGACAGAGTCTTGCTTTGTTTCCCAGGCTAGAGTGAGTCCCATGGCGTCAGCCTAGCTCACAGCAACCTCAAACTCCTGGGCTCAAGCAGTCCTGCTGCCTCAGCCTCCCGAGTAGCTGGGACTACAGGCGTGTGCCACCATGCCCAGCTAATTTTTTCTATATATATATTAGTTGAACAATTAGTTTCTTTCTATTTTATAGCAGAGATGGGGTCTCGCTCTTGCTCAGGCTGGTTTTGAACTCCTCACCTTGAGCAATCCGCCCACCTTGGCCTCCCAGAGTGTTAGGATTACAGGCGTGAGCCACCGCACCCAGCCTCTATTTTGTTTTCAATGTTCTTTTGGCATTATGGTTTCTTCACAAAATTTTAAAACGCTTGAGTAATGTTTCTCAGGCCTATAGTCCTACAGGCCCACAATGGTGAGCTGAATTTTTAGACCAGTTTTTAATTATTTTGAATTAACTATAGTCTCTTTTTTTGCATTAAAAATGATATATGAGAAATGATGCAAATAACACAGTAAAAAAGTAAACAAACAATCTCCCATTTCTCATGCCTCAATCTCACTTTTCAGAGGTAACCACTTTGAACTGTTTGATATATCTTCCTGGTCTTTTTTCTATTCATTTACAAATATATAATTTTTGCATTTTATGAAAGTAATATATATTTATTCTATAATTTTTGACGTAACATTGTCACATATATACATATCTACATAAATAAATCTTATGTTTTTTTTCTAAAATGGTTGCATGCTGTTCCAAAGTATGAGTATACTCAAATTTATTTAATCCCTCCTTAATGGAAATTTTAGTTTTTCCCCATGTTTTGGTTATATAAATAATGCTGACATGAACATCCTTATATTTTTACATACTTATATATTTTTGTAGGATGGATGCCTAAAAGTGGAATTACTGATAAAAGGTGCGTCCATTTTAAATTGATTGGTACTGCTAAAATTGTCTTCCAATGTAGGTATACCATTTCATACTCCAAACAAAAATATATGAAAGTGCCTGTTTCGCCACACCTTAACAACACTAGATTGGATATTACTGATCCTTTATTTTTATTCAAATCAGTTTAATTTAAAAATATTTTTTAAAAATCCTGTTTTTCTGATTAATAGGGAAATTGTACATCATCTCATATTCAGCAGCTATTTTTATTTCCTCTTCTTTGGAATTGTCTTTTCATATTCTTTGCCTTTTTCAAAAAATAAGGTTGTTTCTTTTTTCTTATTGATTTTTAGGAATTATTTATATATTCTGAATATTATCTCTTTATTAAATGCTAAAGATATTTTCTTCCTGTTTATACTTTCAACATATAATAAAGGAAAAGTTAATATTATTACTATTATTTGACTAAAATTTTTATTGCATTTCACTATATTGAATTTTTAGAAACTTGTTCTTATCAATTAATTCATCTTTTTCTTTATGAGTGATTAACGTTATGCTTAGGCAGGCATTTTCCATCCTAAAATTGTGAAAATACTCTGTATTTTCTTATTCTTAATCTAAATTCCTTGTTAATCTTGTACCGGTGTAGAGTTTCTTGAAACATCTGTATGGAGCCAGTGCCATTAAAATGCTTTCTGCTTGGTTTTCATTCAGACACATACAGGAGGTGGTAAATCTTCAAACTCAGCAGAATAAGGAGCTTCAGGAGCTCTATGAACGCCTTCGGTCAATTAAAGATAGCAAAACCCAATCTTCGGAGATTCCTTTGCCACCTGCATCACCACGTCGACCAAGATCTTTCAAAAGCAAACTTCGCAGCCGCCCCCAGTCCTTGACACATGTGGACAATGGTACAGTTGCCACAGGTAAATCAATCATAAAAGGAATTTTTAAAAACCTCAAGAATCAGCAAAATTTGAAAAATAATAATAATATAATTTTTTTATTAAGGTAAAATAATTTAAAGGTGTGCACATTATTCTGAGATTCTTTTCTACCTTTTTGGTATTAAATGTTCTTTTATGAAATAATAATGAGGCTAACTGATAGATTTTGGAGAACAGCGAAGTATGTTTTGTGTTTTCATTTGGAAAACAAACAGCTGGAAACCCAATATCAGTCCCCAAAATAGGTTGGGCATGGTGGGTCATGCCTATAATTATAGCACTTTGGGAGACTGAGGCAGGAAAGATAGCTTGAGGCCAGGAGTTCGAGACCAGCCTGAGCAGGAGGAGACCTTATCTCTATAAAAAACAGAAAAATTAGCTAGGTGTGGTGGCATGCACCTGCAGTCACAGCTCTTCAGAAGGCTGAGGCAAGAGAATTGCTTGAGCTGAGAAGTTTGAGGTTGCAGTGAGCTATTAAGACGCCACTATAATCCTCTAGCCTAGGCAACAGAACAAGACCCTGTCTCAAGAAAAAAAAAATCCCCAGAATAGTTTTTGAAATGTTATCAGTCAGTGGGAAACACTGGTCTGGCATTTAGAGTTTATTGGGAAGTTTGTTGGTAAAAAAGATAATCTTAAAAATGTGCTCCATATGAAGATTATTTATAAGAATATTATTAAAATGTACTTCTTTGACTTTGATAAAAGACAGTCAGTTTCTACTTAAAAAGAAATTGTTAATCAGGTCAGGCCTCTTTGGTTATATATGCATAGTCAAGGTGAGGTTGAGGGTGTATTGTAGAGACATATGTGAAATCTTAACAGAATTTGTGGTAGGCAGAATAATGGCCCCTCAAAGATGTCAATGTGTAAATCTCTGGAACCTGTTACTATGTTACATTATATGGCAAAGGAGAATTAAGTTTGCAGATGGAATTAAAATTACTAATCTACTAACTTTAAAATAGGGAGATTACCCTGGATTATCCAGGTGGGTCCAATATAATAATCATGAGGGTGCATAAAGGTAGAAGAAGGGGAAAGCAGAAGAGAGAATCAGAGAAGTGATATGGCAAAGGAAACAGTGTCAGAGAGGTGCAACACTACTGGCTTTGAAGGTGGAGGAAGAGGGCCAAACCATGGAATGTGGGCAGCTTCTAGAACCTGGAAAGCCCAGGGAACAGATCTCCACTACAGCCTGCAGAAGGAACACAGTCCTGCTAACACTTTCATTTTAGGCCTATGAGACCCATAATGGACTTTTATCCATAGAACTCTAAGATAATAAATTTGTATTATTTGAAACAACTATGTTTATGGTAATTAGTTACAGCAACACTACACAACTAATATACACCTTGAGAACAGGAATTATACTTCAGATGATCCTCATAAAGATAGAACTAAAGGATAAACTTGCATCAAAGGCAGCTTTGGGGATTTAATAGCAGAAGCACAAGGACCTTCAGTCTAACGCTGTACCATTAGTACTTATGCTTTATTCTGTTTTGTCCCAAAATGCATTTTTTTTTCAATTTTTTTTTTAATTTTTTTTTATTTTGGCATATTATGGGGGTACAGATTTTAAGGTTTCAATAATGGGCAATAATGGGCAATAATGCCCATTTCCCCCCTCCCCCCAAAAGCCTGAGTCTCCATCATGACTATCCCCTAGATGGTGCACATCTCACTCATTAAGTATGCATATACCCGCCCCCCTCCCCCTTCCCACCTGCCCAATACCCTATTACTGTAGTACCTGTGTGTCCACTTAGGTGCTACTCAATTAATACCAGTTTGCTAGAGAATATATCTGGTGCTTGTTTTTCCATTCTTGGGATACTTCACTTAGTAGTATGGGTTCCAGCTCTAACCAGGAAAATATAAGATGTGCTATATCACAACCCACCTGGTTGGGGCGCACGGCCTCCTCCTGGGAGGAGGGTTGCCCTCTTAGGACGCCGATCCGCCCCTGGAGGCACACACACCTCAGTAGCTGTTCACGTATAACCCTTCTGTGCCCGGGCAATGTCTAGCCCTCGGTGCAGGGATCTGGTCTGCAGGTCCGACCTCTGGGTCCCAGAGTTCAAACTGTATCCCCACCAGGGAGGAGATTTCCGTCCCAATTCACCCACAGGGAGCCAGCTGTGTCTGTGTCTCTCAGCGTCTGAGTCT